CAAGCTAGGTACTATTTCTGTAAATGTTAGTCTGGCCATACCACAAATGCTTGTTTCAAGATACAGGTAACCAAAAAAAAGGGTTTGTGGCACGTGCAGACTACTTGCTCACAAACTTACTGGTAACTTGAACTGACAGGCAATCAGTCTACACAAATCTAAAGTGAGACCTCAGGCTGGAAGCTGTCTCCAGTTGCTGCACCCCCTCTGCATTTGCAGGTGAGCCTGGGAAATCCTTCTGCAGGGGATTTCCCTGTGTGGGCCTGCAAGCACAGAGGTGGATCCAATGTGGGAGTTTGAGGGACTCAATTCAGACTGAGCTTTTCCCTGCCCAGTCAGACCCACTCCCTGCAATTGCAGAAGATGGCTCCGCGTGAATGGGGAACCCCAACTTCCCCACTTACGGAGGAGAGGCACCCCACAATTCCCAAGGGTGCCTTTCTATAAGCAGGGAAAGAGGGCAGGTTCTGGGGTCTTGAGTGGCCCCAAAGTACATGCCCAGGGTAGAGAGAGTGTGCAAGTAACTCAAGCTACTTGTACTGTTTGGCCACAGCTATAACAGACAATGGCCATAATAAAGCAGCAGAATCTATTACCATCTTTTGTTGTGCCGCTGACTTCCCTTTGATGTGGTATGACAAAGGGTAGCTATGTCTATTTGCTCACCATTTGTGCCACCATAAAAAGGTTTATGGAGACACAAATGAGACATCAGGCAACGTCTGCTTCCACCTTCAGTGATGCAAATCCTGATACAGAATAACTCACTGGTGTTATCCTAGATTTTTTTATTCTGGTGGAGTAGAGAGCAGAACTGGATCAAAATCTCCAGTGCATATTTTTAAAGGAGAGATGTTGCTGCAAGAAAAATTAAGAAATGGCTGCAGTGACTTCCTTTCTCAAAATGGTTTCATTGCACCTGTGCTTAGTAAGTGGGGAAGGGAGGATGAGATGTGTGCAAATGGCTGTGCATAAAAATAATTTTCAGTGTCAGCAAAACATAAAAGCACTGAGGACAGGAGGAGGGGAAAGTAAATCTTATATTCACTGAAAAATGCACACCAAGGCATAGATTTGTCTCATATTTTTGCCTTCTTTTTCATCAAAACAAGAAGCAGCTTCTGCAAGTGCAGAAGAGCCTCCAGTGCCAAATTTAGAAGTCCCTTCACAAACTTTCACCATATATTTGGGAAGGTGAAGGAGAAGAGAAAAAACAAACCCCTGCCCCCTCGTTATTGCTTTTAATGATTGCTCTCCTCTCTACAGCCAGATTATTAATACTGTGGGAACTTTAGCCAGGACACTTCCATTCAGATCCCGCCAGCCTCACCTGGAACACCTTCCTGAATCACCGCTATTCAACTCTCGGCTCCTATAAGAATCCCAAGACATAGCAGCATTTTGGAGATTCAAAACAAAGCCAATCCTGAATCTCCTTCCTTGCCCAGGAACCACAACCCTGCTGCCATTTGGAGGGAAGTATCTCCTTGAAGGGGTTCATATTTCTACAGTGAAGTCAATGCATTGAACAAATGGACTTGGACTTGTTAATGCACCTCTTTTGAGATTATGGGTACTTAGGTTTAAAAGGCTAGGTTGATTAGATTAGCAGGATGCTTTGCTTTCCCTCACACAAGGGATTCCAGATCCAGGAAACCTCGCCCACTGCCTTTTCAGAAATACCATGACTCTGTTTCTTAGTGGAGGGAGAGAGTGGAGGAGGGAGGAGAGGAAACTGGGTGGAAGCAATTTCTATAATTTATCAGAAAATGAATGCATTAACTGCTGAGCAGAAAGCTGGGTGGCTCCCTTTAACAGAGACATCTTCCTATGCCAGTAAGTATGAAGCTTTACGGAGATTATGAGCAACACTCTGGTGCTGTCCTTGCTTCCCTCCAGGAAAATATATGAATAAACTGTGCTGCTTACCCTACAGATCCGTCAGTCATATCACCATCAACTTGGCATATATTGAGATTCCACCAAACACCCCAGGAGGGCTCCAAAGAGCCTCAGTCTTGGCCCATGACCCCATCATGCTAGGAAGACAGAATAGAGTTCCACCGAGTTCAAACAGCCCTCTCCCTTCCTACAAATCCCCTGTCGAAATCCATTTCTTCCAGGCATCCTTTTGCTCTCCTCAGATCTCCACACACTTTCTTAGCTCAACCATTGTGCCGTTTCTTATTTATCATACACACTAATCCCCGAGATAAGAAAACTCTCTCACCCCACATTTGCAAAGCCCTGTATAAACTTAATGTGTTATATTATTGTAGCGTGTTTTTTAAGAGACAGTACAAAGGATACCCCAGAGAATTGATCTGGTTGGACTTTTAATACTATTTGCATAAATGACTGTTAATAATAATCCCTGAAAACACAACATTTGTAGTAGACTGTGTTCTGTGTTAGATTTCAAACTCTGTCATGAGAAGCACTATTCCTAACTCAATGTTTCTACAGCACCCGCTACAACGTGCTTCTACTTTAAATAGAAATATTACAAACAAGAATCCAGTGGAAAGAAAGAACTGCCTACCCTTTTTAATGAAAATCATAGAGAAAAAGCAGCTGTTTTGAAATCGCACTTTGTCTTTAGTTAAGGATCTTTAGGCATTGATACTCTCCATATCTATTTTCTGGGGTTGCAACTCATCTGCAGGCAGACACATGTCAGTTAACACTGCAGTATACAATTTCCAATTTCCTGGTTGCGACATTTCTTTATCCTTATCCGTTATCAGGTCTTTTATTAACACACTGCTAGAACTCTCCCTCTAAACACACCTGCTGTGTTGCTGAGCATACTGTATGTAATAGCACAGCTACCCTGGGGAATTATGGAAGCAGTGCAGCAGCAGGGAGGGTCGGCATGCACATATATTTCCTGGTGTTGGCTGTGAGCATTCCTCCTAGTACGGCGCACACAGCACTGCATACGTTCTACATACTATAGACGCTAATACAGCACCCAACGGGCACTGTCATGTTGCTTTAGAAGAAATGATGCTGTTCAAGACTGCACTTAGGCAATCCCTGCCATATTCCACCAGCCTTTGTTACACTTTTCCCAAACTGCGTGCAATTGCCACTGGCTTTCTTTTGTTAGGCCTCTCCTTTCCCTTTACACATATGATGTGATGGGGCATCTCCTTTCTCTAGCTTACCATATCCTACTCCTCTATTATGGACTGCTTATTCTCCAGTCCCTCTCTTTACTTTTCCTCAGACAGGTGGCTGTTACAAAATATCTCTCTGGACCTTCCTCCTCTGTGACTTTGATTTCTCCCTGTTCCTGGTGATTTCAATCATCGCATCAAAATCAGTCACACACAGCTTCTTTTCCGTTCTTCCTTTTCACTATCTCTGGACTGTCTTTCCTACCCACCACCAGGGCCATGCTCTTGGCCTCCTTTTCTTGAAGCATCATCACTGCTCTGATCTCTCCATTTATAAGATCTTTCACTCCTGACTTCCGTTCTCATAATATTTAATCCTGCAGAGACATAACAACCAGGGTATGTGTCCTGGGCAACAGCAGTGGCAGGGGTGGAGGCAGGGGCCAGGCCAGCTATGGCAGTAGCAGTAGCTGAGTTGACAGCAGCAACAGCTGCCATTCAGATGCCCTAAGTGGATGCCCAGAGTTGGTGCTGTGATTACCAGCACCTCATTACAGTAAGGTATAGCCCTCTCTGTTATCCCGGTGGCTTGCCCCAACAACTTTACAGGAATTTCACAAGTAAACAGCTGCTCATCAACATTCAAGCCTCCTTGTGTGGTGACCCAGTAGGGGGTGCTCCTGCACCGAGCCACGCACCTCACTGTGCCCAACCACCTATCAAGCTCCAAGTGCCTCCCTGAGGTGTGTCACATCTGGCTGACCCCCTTCCTGGTGCACACCCGCAAGCCTGCGATCACCACTGCCACCACCCAGGGATTCTGGTTGGTCTTCAGCCCTGTGCCTCCTGGGGTACACAGGCCATGCAGACCTTGAGGGTGCTTGACCCACTGTGAAAACTTGGAGTGCTTCCTTTAGCCTGAAGCACAAAAAGTAGCCTCCCTTAGTCAGCCAGACCAGGGGACATGTAGGCACACACCTCTCCCAGCCAGTTCACCACTCTTGGTACAATGGAGAACTTTATTGATTACAGAGAGTAGGCTTGGGGAAGGGTACAAGATAGCGATGTATCACAGAATAACCTTAGAGCAAACAGTGTGGCTAGGTGGCCTTTGAGCACATCTGCTTTACAGCAAGATGTATCTCTAGATAAGTTTTAGGTAAGTTACTCACAAGTATCATTCAGAGGCTGACTGAGCTTTCCCCTGGAGGCTGGCAGTTAATGGTGTGTCCATGAGTTTCAAGAGAAATCCCCACCTCCCTGCCTGGTCAGGTACTCACATGTTCCCCAATATGCCTCTCCTCCTTCGAGGAAGAAGGGGCTCTTAAATAAACTTTTCTGACCATACCTTCCAGGTCCAATCAAGGCAGATGTTGTTTAAGGCTAACCAACCAATTTAAAAAGCATTACCGGTCAACTCAGAGATTGACATCTCTTGAGCCACTACCCCTCTGCCATGAGGTCACTGCTTAGGACAATAGAGAGCTCTCCCCTCTCGTCAGTCACATAGGCACAGCTGGTTGCTTAGCAACCAGAGTGCTAGACACCTGAGATTTAGGGAGGGGGACAAAGGCTATCCCCAGTGTAAGGAGGAGGCTAGAATAGGATTTCATCACACCTTGAAACAGAATAGTTATTGCACCTAGTAGCCAAGAAGTGGAGTCAACATTTATGACATAAAACTGATGGGCACGAGAACTGAGGGCCTGAGCCTCATTATATCACCCTAGTGCAACTTGGAAGCAAATCCATCCAAGTCAACAAAGTTAGAGTAGAGGCATAAGTAAGGTGAGAATCCATTGCCCAGTACGTATTTATGTACATGTGCATACGAGATTAATAGATAAAACATTGCTGAGCAAGAGAACCTAATCTCACCTGTCTCATTGGAGAAGCATGTTTTATGAAACTTCCCCATGTAGAACTCCAGTCCGATAATGGCGAACATCACAATAGCAAAGAATAGAAGCAGCCCGATCTGAAGCAAGGGCACCATAGCCTTCATGATGGACTTGAGGACAACCTGTAAACCTGTTGAAAAGAGAAAACTGTTGTAGGCATGACTGGAAACAAACCAATGGACATTTTGGAAGGTGGCAGAGTCTGGGCTTTAAAAAAATGTTCAGGACTGATAAAAGTCCTACAATGCCTCTTTCTTCCAAGTCAGTGCTTCTGAACTCCTTCAGACCCAGCAGAGATTTAAAATCTGATCTGGATTCCATTGACTTCAGTAGGAGTGAAATCAATCCTAAAGACTTTTCAGTAGTATACATGAAGTGTGTTGATGGTGCCAGGCCAATCACCAGAGAATGTGCACAAACAGAAAAAGGTATCTCCTACAACCACAACTAATTTGTGACTCTTATTTCCCAGAAAGGCCAAGAATGGAATGCTTCATGGACAGAAGGCTAATCCTCTGACTTCATTGCAGGGCAAGAGTTTGACCCATTGGTGAACTAACATACAGAAGGGCAGCAGTGCCATTATCCATGCTGTACCCAACTTCTGGGTAAACAGCAAACACCCATCTCCAGGGCTGTCAATCTAAGTCTTTTCACCAGCACTGAAATTCAGTTTCAAGTAAAATATGTGAGATAAGAGAAGCTCAAGGGGTAGAGGTCTCAGATAAATTTATGCAGGCATGCATAACAAAAACAATGTCGTGATAACCAAGTGCTTAAAGCCATCTTGGCTATGGGGCCCATTCTGGGAATAAAAGAATGTCATTGTGCCACTCTCTTGTAAAACGTAACTTGGGTCAAGACAAATGAGCACTGGAGAACATTTATCTATTTTGAAAATAAGAGAGAGGGGTGGAGAGAATATTAGGAAAGCATGCAGCACATTTATAAATGACTGAGTCATTTGTATTGAGGGTGGAGGGCATAATCATAAAGCTCTTAGATTCCATAGCAGCATTTAAAATGTCTAGCAGAACTATGTTAGGCTTTTAATCTACAGCGCCACCTCATTATACAATTAGGACACTGACCAAAGTTTGATTCTAGCAGAAAGGATATGCTCTCTGGTTTGAAGATGTTCACAAACTTTTGTTTAAATAAAGCTTGCCAAAAGGCAAATACACATGGAGGAAAATCCAACAGTCTCTTTATACCAGAAATATCATCACAGTGGGAAATTCCACCTCCCCCACGTAATCAGTCTTGAAAAGTGAGCGACACCTTACAATGTTAAATGGAATATGTTGAATTTTGGTTAGAGTATGATGAAATTCACCCTGTGCAAAGGGCAATTTGTAAGGTTTATGTGCCACTTTATTCCCATTAAAGCTTATATTGGACTCACATGGTGCATAACCTTGTGCTGAGTTCTCTACATGGAGATGTCTAATTTGTAGAGGAGGGTGAATTCTCCTGTAGGAAGTGTGCATATTTGTGACCTTGCCTTCCTTAGGTTTATAGGGTGTCATGGTTAATTTACTTATTTTTATTTTTTTTGTGGGTGTTCATGCAAGTTTCATGCAAGTGAAAGCTGCCAGATTCCTGAAGAGTGGACTGTACTGTTTATTAGGGCTGTGCAAAGCTTTGGTTGCTGATTCGATCTGGAGGAGATTAAGCCTGATTCGGCAACTGAACCTCCAAATCCGAATGGAATCGGGAGACCCATGAATCTCTCCGAATTGAATTGGAAGCCTGCAATTCAATTTGGAGAGATTCATCAATTCAGCCATAGACACAGCTTTATATGTTTTTTCTATGTAACTCAAGGTACCAGGCACAGCTCGTGAACACTGAGATGCTAGGGCGGATGGAGTGTCCCACGGGAGCGCAGGGGGTCCCCAGCGCACTTGGCGGTGGACCCAAAAGTAGACCAGAAGCACTTATGGTCCATTTCCGGGTCTGCTGCAGAGCGTTTTGCCACTGACCTACTAGGTGACCTTTGGCAATTCACTTAAGCTCTAAATTTTCCCTCTCGTGCCTTCTCTGTCTTGTTTGTTTAAATTGTGTTTTTCAGACAGGAACGCTGTCAGCACTTAACAGGGCATTCCCTTAGGACTTATTAATTACAAATACATGTTTATAAATAAATGCCATCCTTTCCCAAGCCCAGCTCTGGGCTGCCTTCTGAATGGGAAATGCAGACATAATCCCTGCTTCCTTAAAGGATGCAGCTATCTTGAATATTCAGAGGTGAAAAAACTAATCCCTCATCAGAGCTACAAAATCCCTTGGATGCTGGAGTTCAAGCAGCCATAAATTGCACAGCTGAGACTCCAGGCAGCTGTCTGAGAATAGAAGGGGCTGCACTGCTAATAATGAGTTAATCCAAGTGAACAGCTAAGCTTCATAGAAGAGCATCCCATTTAAAAAGGAAACATACTTTCTTCTCACTGTCTTATGTTGGACAGAAACCACTTTCATTCTACATTTAGACATTTAATCTGCCATTCTGGAGATCTTTTGCTAACCAACAAATAAAGAAAGATTGCTATTTGGTCTCCTGCAAAGTATTGCTTTGCAACCCAATACCAGAACATCTGGGTACTTCAGACTAACACACATGAAATATGGAATTGCTCATGAAAAAAGGTTGATTATGCACTGTCTATCTTTTCATTGTGCCTTCCCTGGGCTTTACTTTAACCTGCTTTTTACTTGCAAGCCTAAACCACGAGATGAGCTAGATTCTTAACTGATGTAAACCATCATAGCTCCATTTGGATCAAACTAAGGATCTCCCTTGGTAAGTCTAGCCCTAAGGAGCCTATAGGTTAAGAAACTTGGCATCTGGAAAATCATTGCTCCTTTGTGAGCAGGTTAAGTTCCAAGGCAAAGAATTGCAGGGGATAACTTCCTACCACCACACATATGAAGTCCCACCCCAAACTGGTAGCACTTGGCACTCTCTTTGGCTCTAACTGGGTATGTCTAGATGAGATGCTAAATGTGCAGTAGCCTAATAATACTGCACAGTGGCACATCACAGCAGAAACAGTGCTAATAGATTACTGTGCAGTATTATTAGGCTACTGTGCAGCAGCATCACTAAAAAGGTGTGTGCCGGTGCTACTGCACAGTAATACCAGTTACTGTCCATTGATTTAGTACATTATTATACAAGTGCTAAACAATGCGCAGTAACTACAGTGCATTAATGAACGTGTAGACATGCCCACCGACAAAAAGACATAAGTCAATAGAGAACGAAGTCCCAAACATGCAGGGCAAGTGCATCCCAGTGACAAGAAGCAGGGGGACGAATACATCGTTCAACAGTGATAGCACCAAATATGCAGTGCTGCAAAAGCCAAGGAGCCAATGTGACAATGAAGATAACATTGTAGTGACATATGTTACACTCACTTGGGATTCCTGACACAAGCTTCAGTGGTCTTAATACTCGGACGGCTCGCAGGGTCCGTAGGTCAAAGTCAGTCCCAGCAGTGGCTAGAATTCTGTTTAAAATAAGGGCGAGGGCGACAGGGAGATGAGGGGGAGAAAAAGAGACAGAAAGAGAGACCGAGTTACAATATGAATAAATGAACAGTTATTACAAATTCAGACTGGTCTCACACTCTATAATTGCCATGCCATTGCATAGGGTGTTCACTGAACACTTTTACAAAGGACACACACTGCACCAGAATCACAGACCCCAACTACTCAAACTAAAGGGGAATCTCCACTATCTGTTTGATATATGGAGCCTATGACACAGAGAAGAGCGATCCTGTTTCCATGCGGTCGAGAACAGTGTGCTCCAAACAGATGCAGAACCATATGTCATTTCCTAGGGAGGTGAGGGTGAAAGGAAGACATACCCCTCTTATCCCTGGGAATTATCTCCTAATAAAGCAAGAGCATGCACTAGTGAGACACTTGTTTAGGTACACCGCAATGCTGAGGAGTAAGGTTCCTGTTATGAATATGTGTACATCTAAGTTCAGACCAAAACATCTTACTTTAGAGCGAGGAAAACAATACATCTCTCTCAGAGAGAATGACTGTGAGCCTTTTCTCAGTAACAACCTGCAATAACTGCAAGAACAAAATGTCTTCCATCTGTGGAGGTAGGCACAATTCTTAGGTAGTAAAAGGTCTCATACACAGGAAAGGCTTCATCTTTTATGACTACTCAGAGTTCAGGGAGAAAAAAATGCCACTGGTACTAAAAAGCATCCTGAATATAACCTTCCCTGAGCAAGGATCCCCTTTGCCCTCAAACTTAGAAACACAATATCCCTACATAGACCCCCTGTAAGCTTGTATCCATTAAGCAACAATAATTACTGCAGCTCTTCCTTTGATGCTTCAAAGTAAGACCTCAGAAAGTTCCCCTTTAACATAAATTAACCGAGTCAACCAGTCACAAAGTGAAAGCCCCTCACTGGCTCCCTATTGATCACTCAATTTAGAGTCAACAATCTCCATTAATTTTGTATGGGTTTGTTCTGAGACCAATTTAACAGGCGAAAATGGAAGGTGCTGAAGAACCAGGCTTGTCAATGAAGTCTGCAAGAACTGATGTTGCAGTGACATAGCCCTTATAAGCCACCCCCCATCCTGCCTGTCCAGCCATCATCTCCATCGCTGTCTGCTTTTAATGCACACGATATTGCAAAAGTCAATAAAACAGAATGCCTTAGCATTATGCAGAGCGGCGGTCTAACTGTGACACAAAGGGAGGCAGGAGCTCCACAAGACATTAGTGACAAGATAGCTGTATATGCTAACATGCTATATTTGGGTACTGGAAAGATGAGTTCAAATCTTGCCTCAAGAAAGATAAACTCAACAATTAAAGAAGGCTTGGCCACAAAGACAGGTGACCAGTGCAACTGCCTATATGCTGAGCTTAATTAAGTTTAAACATGAAAAGGCACTATAAGGGCTCCTATACACACACAGGGAGACTGTTCCGATGCACTGAACAGACTCGATTAATTAATGGTAATTACCGCGCTCCAGCAGACTCCAGCATCACATGTATCAGTGTCCCTGCACTGAAATATGCTGGCTAGGTGCTTTAAACTAAAGCTTGTTCAATGAGCTTGAGTTCAAAGTGCCTTGACACCATTTTTCAGCGTGGGGATGCTGATACACATGATGCTCTGGGCACTTTAATTAGCTAATTAAAGTGCCTCTCCCCCACCTCCTGGAGCACCTCTACAAACACCCTAAGTGTCTCGTTTGACCAAAGCATCGAACCATTCCAAATAAGACGCTTTTTCTAAACTTCCTCATCTGTGATTCTGTTGAGAGAGGCCCATTCTAGTTCATTCCTAGACACTTGCCCACTATGTGACACAGCAAAATTTATACTCAATCTCAAGACCTAAATACGAATAAACAGCAACAAATAGAACAGCAGAGGGTGTTGCAAATCGGCATTAAAATACGTTGGCAAATCCAGGGGTTGTAAAAACATATAGTGGGTGGGCTTTCAGTCAGGGAAAAGCTGGAAAAGAGTGAAGGCCAATATTTTTGGTATGCATGCCACAAATTAGCCCTGCACTCTTCCCAAGTGCCATTCCAATCCCCTTCCTTTACTTGATCTGCTCTTCTTCTGAACTCAGCCCTGTACTCCCTAAGAAAGCTGCTGCTCTGCTTTCTGCTCCCTGTCCTGTGATCCTGCTTGATTTGCTCTGCTTTCTGCTTGGTGCCCTATCTGCCACTGAGCTACCTGTCTCCTCCTCAGTCTGCCATGTGCAGGTCACAGAGGCTGCCTGTTAGGGCTGTGCGAAGCTTTGGGTGGTGAGTCAATTTGGAGGAGATTCGGCTCGATTTGATGGCTGAATCTCCGAATCCAAATCAAATCAGGGGACCAATTTAAATGTCTGAATCAATTCAAAGCTCTCCAAAGCTTCGGAAAAGATTCGGAGAGCTTTGATGATTCAGACATTCCTCGGTGGCTGCAGTAGGGAGCTGCAGCCACTCCGAGCTGGTAAGTAGGCCTGTGCAAGTCAGCAGCGATCCAATCCAGCTTCAGATCCGGCCGCTTCAGATCGCCATGATCCCATCTGGGGCTCCAGACCAGGTTTCTGCCTCGATCCATCCGAAGTGGCTCCAAACCTTCGGAGCCACCTCGGCCATAGGGTATAATGGGGAATCAACCTTTGTTGTTTTTTGTTCAATTTGGATAAACAAAGGGATGGTAGCCCCTGCTAAGAGCATGAAACCTACCAAGTTTCAAGAAGATCAGTGCAGGGGTTTGGGAGGAACTGTACCCCAAAAAGCAGCACATCCCGGTGAGAACTGGGGCTTTTTAAAAAAGTACCAAGCTGGGGTGGGCAGGGGTCCCCCCATGGTCCCCTCTCCCCTGCTTCTAGTATTTACCAGTAGGGCTGTGCGAGGCTTCGGACAGAGCTTCGGATCCAGGGAAGCTTTGGACGCTTCAGGGTCCGAAGCAGCACATCCGGGTGGAAGCGCTGGCCTTGTTAGGCTTTCCGAAGAGCTTCAGAGCCGCCTTGGAGATCTGGCCATAGGGTATAATGGGGAACAATAAAATATCTTTTCTAAGATCTTCCCCAGTATAGAAGTCAGGCTGATGGGCCTATAGTTAGCCGGATCCACTTTCCTCCCTTTCTTGAAGATAGGCACCACATTGGCCTTCTTCCAGTCTTCGGGCACTGCACCAGAGCGCCAGGAGTTCTCAAAGATCTGTGCCAGGGGCAGGGCTATGACGCTCACCAGCTCCTTGACTACCCTGGGGTGCAGATTGTCAGGGCCGGCTGACTTGAAGGTATCCAGCCTCTCAAGGTGTTCCTTCATGAGGTCAGCATTGATAAAGGGCAGGGGATCTCCCTCGCCTGGACCTCCCTGTCCCGCAGCGGGCATGAGTGTCCCACGGGACCGAAGAAAGACTGATGCAAAGTACCCATTTAATAGGTTGGCTTTTTCCTGGGCATCAGTTGTCAGTTATGCTACCTGGTTTGCAGGGGTCTAATGTTGCCCTTGCTTTTCCTCCAGTTCCCCACATATCTGAAAAAGGACTTTTTATTGTCCTTGATACTCAAAGCTAGTTGGAGTTCAGTTGCAGCCTTGGCTTTCCT